GTCTATTTTTAAAATAGCTACGCTGAGACACTTTCAAATTCATCCAGAGACATACAAATTTCTACTTCTATCAAAATTGAAACTGCAATATTATTTGTCACAATATTTTAGATGAGTTTAAATTTACTATTATTAATTGTTTATGTTTGTTATTTTGTTTACTGTCTTTATTTTCTTTTTTGTCTATGTCAAAAAACTGTTCAACTCATTGTCATAATTATGGCAGATTGTGAATAAAAATAAATGATACAAAAAAAAAATTATATTACGTTTATTTTTAATAAAAATAAATACAAATTGGAATTCATTTCAAACTTAAATTAAGAAAAAGTAGTTACCTAATTCTTATATTATGTCTTATTACCATAATTACTTCATTTGTAGATAATATACATATGTGTATATTATCTACACCGAACTTCTATTACAAATATTATTAATAATAATTTACTGTAGAATATACTTATCGTGTATCAAAATAAGTCAGTTATTTTAAGTGCTGGAAAATCGTATAGTTATTATTTTTCAAATAATCAGATGTATAATGATTTCAAATAAATATAATAATTAACTGCAGGATAAATTATATAATTATGGAAGTGTTTATTATATTTTCTTCAAAAAAATGTATAATTATATATAATTATAATAGAAAGTTATAGTTATATTTTCCATTTATAAATTACATGCTGAATCCACACGTGATAAGTTAATCTTCACTGAATCAATTAATCCTTTTATAGGGAGATTAAAAACCACAGTTATAAGAGAAAGCTAGTAGTAGTGGATCTAATATACGTTTTAAACTGAAGCGTAATCTTTACAAAATAGTACCTAATAGAATATTTATTTAGCTTGTTTCAAAAACTAAACTGCAATTTTAATTATTAAACTAAATTATACTAAAGTGCTTCTCCTTTAGTATAAAATAGTCATAGGTTAGCGATCCTGATATATTAGTGAGTGAAGAGACCCGACGGAGTCTTCGGATAAAATGGTAAATTATGCATGCCATATGGTCTTTGAAAGTCGGTCTAAAAATGATGCGGCGCGCTAATTCAGGCTGCAACTACTAAAAAAGACGGAAGTGTGCGGACCCCGAGGCGGAGTAAATATAAATCGCGAATGACACTTTTACAATCCAAGTTTTATAACACACATCTCTGCAGTAATGAATGATATAATCATACAGAAATGAGTACACATTTCAGACTTCAAAAATGCATGTTATAAAAACGTAATTTTCAATTCTGAACAACTGTATTTAAGAGATATATTTGACATTATCATGTATTTATATTAAAAGTTTTGTTAACAAATGTTTTATGTATTTAGAATTAAATCTTTAAAAGTGGGTATAATACATGATTTTTTTAATTTTATATGAATCTTTCGCACTATTTTTGTAATCATAAAACGCAACATGTTATGTAAAGAAAACGATTTTGAAATGGTGTTCGTCCCATTGTTTATATATTATTTATTGCAAAATAAGAGAAATACAATATTTCGGTGCATAGGTAGAAGATTAACCAAGAAGGATAATACTAAAGTCAATCTACATTTAAAGTTTTACTATGATATCAAAATAACTCACTGATAAAGAAAGAAGTTTACTAAAACATAAACGTGTATTAAAACTTATTTAGACTTCCTATTCGATTATGGCGAAACAATAGCAAAAGCATCAAGATCGAAGCAATTTAAGGAGAAATATTGTAGACAGGGCGTTATATATTACTATAGCAAAACTTTTAAGGGAAAGCGTCGTAGTAGAAATCATGTAAACATGTTCATCCTGGATATTCACATATAAATAAACTAGTACAAAACTTCTTTAAAAAAAATCATAACTTGACGATTACAACACCAAATACAATAATGGAAAACAAAAATATAAACTTTTTTACATTAATATTATGAAAAACGCAAGAAATAATTTATATTATAGTACAAGGGTGGTTCGCGAGCCGCATGCGGCTCTTCAACAAAACACAAATATTACATATTATATTATGATTGATATTTTTTTTAAATTATTATACCAAAAAGTTTAGGTTCGACTCTTGCTGCAAAAAGTTATAGTACATAACTAAACGAAATATGTAGAAATGATAGAAATAAATATATTTTGGAATTATCCGCTTACTTTGTAATTATAGCGTAGATCATTTTTGAATTGGTATTTCACCAGAAATGAGAAGAAACTATTTCTCAATCATTTTTTATTATGAGCAATTAAAGAAAATATTCTTCGCATATTTTATGCACGAGTGCCTTTGAACGATAAATTAAATTTTAAGAAATAATTTTCTAATTACACATAAAATCATTGGTATGCATCTTTATGTGCATATACAAAGATGAACGCGAGCAATTATATTCTACATGCATAATTAACAAAAACACGGTGTGTGCATTTACCTCAACCAATTAGAGAATATTTTTCCCTTTCTCCACTCTTTTAAGATATTCGAAGTAGCAAGTTCGTTTAACGTTGAATTGCAAACGCAAAATTAACCATTAAAATAATATATATAAAAATTTCACTTCGTTTCTATTACATTACAAAATGACTATAACATAAAACTTCATGAAAACATGCATATTGATTTGATTGTTGTAGTTTAAGTATAGGTAGTAAGTTAGTAAAGAGTTGTTGATATACTTGAATGTTTTTAAGTGGGTATTAGATGTAAGTGCTTATAAAGATAGACTAGATAAAACTCATAAAAACACTATTTGTTAAGAGGATACTTTATCAATGCACCATCAATCACTTTGTTAATCAAGCATACGTGAATTTGTGCAGTGTTGAACTCTTGTAATAAACTCATAATTTTAAAAATCGAACATAACTTATAAATAATAAATAATTATATAAATCATATATTAAATTATTGTTCATCAACGTTTATTAGTGTAAAACAGTTGTTACACTGTTTTAATAACCATTAATCAATCAAGTTGACAACTTCAGATTGTTTTTCCAATTAAGAAATGAACACGAACAGATCTTTCAGTTTTAATGAAACCATCAATGGAATTAATCTTGCTGAGCAACTAATGAGAGTAATTCTCTTTGGTCCATTTACAAGCGAGAAGGTCGCGAATTCAGTCACCTTTTTTATACGTTTCGTTTGATTAATATAGATGTAGTTGAATGAAGAGTTTTTTTTAGACCAATACTTTCCCATTAAAACAAGATTTATTTGGTCATGTTTCATAAACTCGTATTTTATATTTTTATAGAAATTATCATTATATAAGGTCAATGTACATTATAAGTTATAAATATTACAGCCAATATTTTTTATTGTTTTTATTATAAAATATGTTATTGATACAAAAAAAAATAAAGCTATAGTAGAATTTTATAAATTTCGATTATCTAGTCCTCATTATTTCTAATATTTTGTCAAAAGTACGAATGTCGGTAAATGAAAGATCTTATGTCTGTCTACTTTGTACTCTACTTTTAATTACAGATACAATATAGATAGATATTAATAATTAAAAAAAACATCATATATAAAAAAAATCCAAGTTACAGATTTCATCTAGATATGAGAGATACTAGAAAGGCTGGAATGTCCTGTCCGCATGGTGGAAGATTTTGTTGGAATTGATGTTAAAAAAAGATACTCTTCCAACAGCAGCACGTAAGAAAACGTCAACTGAACGTTTCAAACAGAGAACAATTAAATATAATTGAAATGAGCTACAGATGTATGTGCACTTGAATTCACCATTACACATTTTTACCTTTCGCTTCGCTAAATTCCTGCTTTTTATTTTAAATGTTTCGAGAATAAAAAAAAAGAAATAGTTAAAGTTACTGTTAAAAATTACTTAAAAATAACTGTTAACCCAGGTTTATGTTCTTTGTAACAACTTTTAAATAATAATAATAGAAATAAGTAAAAATATTTTGTTTGAAAGGCTTTTGACCTAAACCTGTTCTAGGTAACTGGAATGTGACTCATTTTCATTTTAATATAAAAATGTTTAATATATAAATTTAGTAACATAATTATAATAAAATTGTTACAAGTTATAGAAACCTAAATGTGTGTATGAATCCAGCCAGATAAACACAATACTTTTTCGGTTATACGTTCGAGCAGGTAAGCGTTTTATATGAATTTTATTAATGTATGGTAATTTTCTTATTGACTTTCCATGCCTGGCGACGTTTCAAAATGCCATTGCACCTACTCAAATAAAAAAAATTGTTGTGATCATAACAACAAACTTCTTGTAATTGAATTTTATAAATAATTATATTTGCAAAATACCACGAATTCGTGCGTTCGTTTACAATGATTGAAATTTAATGTCTATTGCAAGTAAATGGAAATGCTTCTGGAATTTGAATCAGGTGAATGAAATGCAAGGCATCATTGATTGAATATCAAGTGCAACAGATTTACTTTCATTTCCACTGCACTTTGAATAATGTAATGTAAAGTGGCTGTAAATATTTATGATACAATTATAGTAACATGAATATAAATAAACAATTTTCATGATTGGCTAATTACAATATTAGGTCATTGTATAATGCAGATGCTGGTGGTGTGTTAAAATTGAGGTGTTTTAGTTGATTGTATCTTCAATGTATGATTGCGTTTTGCATATATTTAACTGTAAGATGAGTAATATTTTATGTATGTTCTTCCAGATATAGATTGAAGAGGATGTTGAAAAAGGACACCCCTAGAGGCATTCCTTTATTCTCTGCCCATTCACATAAGGCTCTTGTGCAAACAGCTGCATACATACTGGTCTATTAAAGCCTGAAATGCAGCTGCAGTAAGCATTTGTTATTGACAATACCAATTTGTTATTATTTACAGGATTGATTATCTATTTATTGAGTTGGTGATAACAGGAGTGCATTGGTTGGAATCAGTGGTTATCAGTCTGGTATTGTCTTTCTTGAGTGGTGATAAGACGCAAGTGGTTGATAAAAAAAAACGAAACTTGATTGCACTCACCTCAGAAAAAAGATAGGTCCTTAGGAGTAAGTTCTTCCACACATAACCATTCACCTTAGTTTTGACAGAAAACTTGGCTGTCAATAGCGTAAGAAGCACATTATTTCAGTAGAAAACAAACAGATCGACCTTCCTGTATTCCCTTACAATTGATCATACTCATCCACCGTCCACACGTCTCGAGAACCGCTGAGATTTATTTGCAAATACTCTCCGCGACAGAAGTAAAACTTATGTACATTTTAGGTTATTCCGAAGATGTGAAGACGCACGAATACCACCACATTTACACTGCGCACTGTCACACACTCAAATATCCTTCGGTAATTGTAAAACCGGCTTAATTTTAAGTTTACTGACCTTACATTTAGTCATGTTTCCACCGAAAACTCCAAATCCTTCCTACCGTTTTAACGTTGCAAACTAATTGTTTAAACCTCGACAGATGGTATTATATTCAACACTGCACAGAGGGAAATTCAAAAATAACGCTCGCATATTCGAATTCCTCGATAAGTTATAAAAACATCATCAAGATCATGTACTAAAATAAAATTGTTATTTATAATCATTACGTCTCAGTCGAAGCTATCACTTGCATCACCTTATTATCAATATAATTTAATTAAACAACTTAAGATAATTGTTTTAATCTTGATTGCAAAAATGCATACAAGACAACTAAATTCGAATATTGTTTATATTTACAACAAAATAAAAGTATACGCAGGCAACCAAATGAACAACGTCCTGTTAACTTAACCTATCTTTATTTCATATAATTTTATTATTTGCTGTACATTTCTTTCCATCCAAAGATGCCTATGAATTTAAATATTGGAATATTGGGACACATTGATTCCGGAAAAACGAGTCTTGCCAAATGTTTAAGTGAGATTGCAAGCACTGCTTCCTTCGATAAAAGTTCCCAGTCTCAGGCAAGAGGTATCACCTTGGATTTGGGATTTAGCAGTTTCACTCTACCAGCACCTGATCACTTATGCAATGACATTAAAGAGATTCAATATACTCTTGTAGACTGTCCAGGCCATGCAAGTCTTATTAAAACCATCCTCGGAGGTGCACAGATTATTGATATGATGATCCTTGTGATTGATGTTACTAAAGGCATACAAACTCAAACAGCAGAGTGTATTATTATTGGTGAAATAACTTGTAAAAAGTTAATATTGGTTTTAAACAAGATTGATTTACTTGATCTTGAAGAACGTAGCAAGAATATTAATAAGGTTTGTAGTTTAGTTATCTTATAATGTTTGTTAAGAATTGAAATTATCTACAAGTATTTTATTTGAGTTTACATTTTGTATACTTGCATATGTTAATATTAATGTTATTATTTTAGGTCAAAACTAAGATGTTGCAAGTCCTCAATAACACATCTTTTGGTAATGAGAATATACCAGTTATTGGTGTTTCTGCCACACAAAAATTAGGAATTGATGAGCTGAAAGAGTGCATTTCAAAATTTACTTATCTTCCAAACAGAAGCAAAAATGATAAACTGCTGTTCTCCTTTGATCATTGTTTCAACATCAAAGGACAAGGAACTGTGTTAACTGGGACCATTATTCAAGGCTCTGTCAAGATAAATGATGTAATTTGTATGGCTTATTGAAGTATTACAAATAATAATTATTTTTTTTTAGGAAATTAATATTCCTGAGCTTGGTGCATCAAAAAAAGTTAAGTCTATGCAGGTTTTCAGGAAACCTGTATCTGAGGCTATGCAAGGTGATAGAGTTGGAATTTGCATCAATCAATTAGATGCTAAGCTCTTGGAAAGAGGTTATGCTTGTACACCTGGCTTTGGGAAACTCATCAATTTCGGTATTATCAAATTGAATGCCATTAAGTATTTCAAGGAAACAATCAAGACCAAGTCGAAATATAACATAACGATTGGTCACGAGACGATCCCAGCTGAAATTACGCTGTTTTCATGCGATCAAGACAATGAAGTATATGATTTAAAAAACGAATACTTGTTTGAAGAAACTTACGATATCGATGAAACGAATAAACGCAATTACTTTGCGCTTTTGCAATTCGATAAGCCTTTCTTTTCTGTGCCTTATGCGATTATGATTGGTACAAAGTTAGATACCAGTAGTAAATGTAGAATTGCCTATTGGGGTAGGCTACTGGATTCCTGGAGTGATAAAAGTGTCTTGAATGAGATGCGAGTTTATAAAACTTGCTGTAAACATGGGGCTGTGGATAGAATAGTTAACGAGAATGCTGTGATAATAAAGAACATGTTCCATAAGAATAGCGATATGCAAAAGTTTTGCAACTTTAATGTCGAATTATCGAATGGGGCGATTGGTTATATTGAAGGTAGTTTTGGTAAAAGTGGGAAGGTGAAAGTTTGCTTCAAAGAAAGTATAAATATTGATGATTCTAAAGGGAAGGCCATGGAAGTGACTTTGAAGTTTAAGAAATATATTTTTGATGTAAATAAAACGATTAAACAATGATTTTCTTATTTTCATTTTCAATTAATAATTATTTTTCTAAATTAGATTTTTAGATTCAGATTAATTTAATAATAAAATAATATACATAATCAACTATATAAATATTAAAAAAAAAACATTTCCTTCTTCATCCATCACTAACTAACAGTATTCTCCAATGAGTCATAATTAAGTAATATAATGTTGTTTTATTATTGCGTATTGAAGGCAATAAGAGGTAGAACACGTCATCAAGCAGTGAACACCAAATATAGTAAGATTAGTAATTATCAACATTCTGAGTTTATATTCCAACAAGAGCAGCTAGCAATTAAAATGTTTAAATGGTGAGAAGTATTGCTTGATATCAACACACTACTGCCTAACACTAAAAGAACATAATTATTGTAATAGTAATTTGAAATAATATACCTTTTTACATATTTGAGTATTTATTTCTTTTTTTTTTTATCTCTTCTAGAATTTATGGATATTTTAATATACATTACTGTACAAGCAGAACTCAGAGAAACAAAACTCAGTGCAGTAGAACCCATTGAAAAACTGATGAACTTCATTGATTCAATGAATTTACCCTACTTAAAATAGGATGATTCATTTTTTTAATTTTTCAAATAAACAATAATATAAACACATAAAAATAAGATATAAAAATAAAAAAAATAATATTCTTAGATACTAGAAAAAAACAAAACACAATAAAGATGAACAATGAATGAACTTTTCTGGTCTTCATTCTTGAGAACTTATCAATAATAGATACATAATTTAACAATGGAACAACATCAATAACATAAGTGACAAATTGCTCAAAAGTAATTGACTCATTGAATTAAGTAAATATTTTTTAACCCGTTTAAGTACGGAGAATGAAGGTTTACCTCTTGTATTGCACATAACATTGTCTAAAAAATTCTCACAATAGTTTCTAAATTAGGAAACGTATAATTTATACATATCGACAGGATGGGATACGTTTTCTTCCTTGGTATATTTGATAAAATGGAGAACTACTTCTTTAACACATTGAGTAAATTCATCACTACTCATTTCATCATTGACAAAAACTTGAAAATCGTTCCAAACATCGCTGTGAATTTCCTGGATATCTCAAATATGAGTACATCACATATTACATTATATTAACTATAGAATATTACCTACCATCGAAACGTGTGTCATTATTGGATGTCCAAACTGCATTTTTTATTCTTCTATCATTATTTTTATAGTATCTATTCTTAATTGTATTGACACAAATATCTTCAATTTTTTTTCTTAAATCCTTTAAAAAATCGGACAGATTTTGCCCCATGGAGTAAATTCGATTGCACGACTTGTAATGATTTGCTTGTAGTATTTATCCGCTGGAACAGTTTATCCCATAACACAGTTATTAAGGCTATTTCATAATCAATTTTTTTTCCAACTTTATTGCCTCTAATTTACTCATTCGTTTCTCCGTTGTGTGAATACAAATTAAAAATATATAAATGAATAATAACAATTCTTTATAATGTAATAAATTCTTCTGATTTAAGGGCTATCTAATTTCAGCACGGAAAAAATATTAAAAGGAATAAAATAAAATGTATTGAACAAATATTTTTTTCCTCCTCAATTTTAAATTCGCTCATGGATTATTTACTGAAAGTTACATTCTTCTCTTAAGTTAATAATTAGGAAATAAGACCTGTTCTCACTTCGATCCTCCAACCAACTCTAACTAAGACTAAATTATATAATATAGAAATGTATCCATTTCAAAAAGGGACTTCGAAATATTCCACAAGTTATTCTAAATAATCACGAGCAAGTATCCGCTTGTATATTTTATGGATACATGAAATATGATTTGTAATAATTAAGAGGAAAGTGGTAGACCTAACAAATATACATATTAATTATACAATAGATGATAATAAAATGGTCGGCCACCAATGGATACCAATCCAATTGTTGGGTGCAGCCAGCAAATCTTTCATAAAAATCATATAAAGGTTCCAAATAAAATGCCTAAGATATATTATTAGGGCTCCGTGGTTCGTCAACGATATACAAATACACGAAGATCTCCATATAAATATGGAGGATACAATACCAACATTTAGTAGAAGATAGCAAGATAGATTGGAGTTACATAATAATGATCTGGTTATTGCCCTACTCGACAACACTGAAACAATAAATAGGCTGAGGCATTTCAAAAATAAATATCAAGGGGTAAATATCAAGTTTTATCCATTTAATGTCAATAGATTATTATGATATAAAAAAAAGTACAACTTCTGGTCATATTTTTCTTGAAATTGCGGACTTGTATCAAAGCCTTGTTATCAGACGTTGATTGAGTTATGACTGTATGTTTAGTTTTGAGTTTCCAAATAATCTTTCTATTATTTAAAAATATGAATGCCTAGTGAATTGTCTATATTACATTTCTATAACTCAAAGGATAATTTGCTTGACGTTAAATAAAGATAATTACGTATTTTAACAAATTATGTAGTCCTTATATAGAATTACTATTGTTACATTTTAAATGCACGTTTTGTGAAAGAAATGTGATCTTCTTATGGAGTTAATTAGCACGAATATAAATTGTTTTACAAGTGCTATTTGTAGAGAGAGCAAATGGTCTTTCGAGATTTCTAACTGCAATTAACATAATTTCAGAGTCAGCCACCATTCCATTTGCCATTACACGTGCGCATGCTATTACCTTAAGTTTCCTAACACTGCCGAAGATAATTATAGTATGAGTGTGTTTGTGCATGCGATTATCTGGATAATCAAAATTTCAACTGTCGTTTAAAACTTTTCATATTTACATATTTTTCATTTTCTACTTACAAAATATATATATACAAATAGAAGCTCCTCGAGTTTCGCATGACACGGAAAATGAAGGGAGGAATAAAGCAGATGTAGAAGAAAAGCGGAAATTATTAAGTGAAAAATGCAATTAGTACGTAAATTGGGAGAGTGTGCGGGTTTGAAATTAGTATAGTCTGCCGCCTCGTCGGTGCCCCAAGAAATAATTTCCGGTTCTTTTAACCGCGGAGACGGCCGAGTTTTCCGGATAAGGAAATGGAAAATTCTACGTGCAACGCGCCCTATGTGTACATTCCTTTTAAATAAGAACAGCCTGAGATCCTTTCCCCTGCTCGCACACGTACATACGCACTCACACACATTCTCGCACCCTTATTCTGCCACCCCCTTTACCATTCAACGCCCCTCGCACACCATAAATTTATATATAGGCCCACTTTCTTATTTCCCTTAAATGGCTTACTTATACCAACGGCGCGTAATTTAACCACCCTCCCTACTCGCGCTAAACATTTGATCCACATTTTTTTTAGATGGAATTAAGTCAATTTTATCAAGTAATACATAAAATTGCATTCATTACGAGATCGATGAATGCCAAATGTAATTACAAACGGCATTACTCATGAAAATTTCATACGTTCCTTTAATGGGAACTAAATAAAACAACCTTTTTTTATGGTCAGCTATAAAACATACGTTATTCGCTACAATTTAGGTTGATTTTGTTTCAATACTAAATAAAACTGAAAGATACTAAAACACTTTTATTATTTATTTAAGTCTTGTCAATTATAAGAGATAAAATCGTTGTAGAAGTTTGACATCTATATTCAAATAGGCTCGAAATAATATATTTTTGTAATATATAGCACACTAAAATATGTGCAATAACCAGAATTTTACAGTGTTCTGAATAATAATTCCTTTGTAGAGAACTTTGCATAGGGATTTCGGGTAGAGTCGTGGTACTAAAAGCTCTCCCTTTCTTGATTGGCATCCAAGTCCGGTACTTTGTCATTTCTCCGAAATGTTGATTGTCTTTGCTAGCAAATTTTCTTTCTTTCAACACCCCTGATACATATCTTCTTACGATGTCCAAGTTCTCTTGGTTTTTCAGCATTCCACCAACGAAGATATCTGCATCGAACAGTTCTCCAAGTCTTGTGCTTCATATTTGTTTATCTGCAGCATCTAAATAATGCTAGGTCATCTTCGCAGTAGCAACACTTTTTATCCTCCTTCGCGATGAAGTGCATGTACTTGCCGATTTATTTATCTTTGTAATAACATTATAAAACTATATTACTAATGAAACATGAAAAAATAAGTGATTTTAATCAAATCGCTATTAAATTGTTGCAAACCATTGATGTAGATGCTCATTATAAACTGTCGATTAAATATAAAAATTTTATTTTTGAATAAATGGTATTATACATAGAAATATACTGGAATTTTTCTATTGACAATATATGATTTACTGTTGCTAGTGTTTATAAAACCCAATACTGGATACAGCGTACATGTTTATATTGTTTCAATAAAATTTCTATAAAATGGAATACACAAATAGAGATTTTTATTTACTTACTCTGCTGCTCCGGAGCTCGTTCCTCTTTCATTTTTTTATACATTTTATATCACGAAGTCATAACGTATCCAATCAATATTCGGTGGAGAGGCTGGAAAAAGGAACTTGTGTGTTATGCTTATAAATTGGTTTTTGGCAGTAAATCTGCACGCCAGCAAACGAAATTCAATGTGTGTCAACAGTGGACTTTATGAGAATAGAAATCTGCTATGGCAATATAAAACTTATAATGGGACACGTACTTACACAGCGTTATTATATTACCGATTGGTAGAGAAAATCATGAAAATTTCTAACATAATTTCTTATAGTTTCTATCTTTTTCATATTTACTTAACTTAATTATGAATGGTTTGAAAAACTTTAAACTAGGATAAGAATGTAAATAATAATTGATCAATAATCAATTAAACCTAGGATATTAATTTAAAGTTTGATGAAAATAGTTTGATATTTAATTTAATAATATAAATTAAATAAAATTAGAATATTCTTTCATGATAACTAAATACAAAAGATAGTCCTATTATTTCCATTTTCTCATAAGTATTTCAAATGTA